GGCCGGTGTCCCGGTCTGAGCCGGCGGCAGTGCGCGACAGCGTGCCGGTATAACCGGCCCCGCACGCAGCCACAGGCTGCATATCTTGCCCTTTTATTGCCACACCGGTTCCCGTTCGTAAGCTTAGCCCCGGAGAACCAAATATCAGTAAAACGTCCTTTAGGCTTTTATTTTACAGCAGGCATTGCACCCAGCCCTGCCCACCTCACTCCTCCTATCACCGCTTAAGAAAGCCTCCTGAGAAGCTGAACAGAGATTTTCTGAAGGAATTGCATTATTTCAGGATTATCAAGACCGAATGGTTTAAATCTTTTAAACCATTCATGAGAGTTAAGGGACAAGTCATTTGGTGATCGTATTTGGTTGCTCATATTTTGTTGACTGAAATGGAACTCCTACGGCTGATTTCAGGGTAAGGAAAGGATCAGGAGCAAGTTCTGTTAGCCAAAGACGAGCGAGCATCTTAAGTGGCATCTACGCAAATAGAGCAGTGAGTTGCAGAAGCCAATCCACAACTTCTGATGGCAAAGCTGTGGACAGGGGGTCTCTCGTGGGTAACAAGTATGCCATACGGGTGAGAAGCCATTTACACTATTTCTAAAAAGTTTTAAATGTGAGTTATTGTAGGTGTTAAAAGTTGTCAGAAAGGAAGCGGGAGAGGGAGGAGGGAAGAAAAGGCATGTCTGAAGAGCTATGGAGAAAGAAAATGATCCAAGAGCTTAATCCATTCTGAAATGATGGTGATTAGTGTCCAAAAACAACCTGCAAGAAGAATAATAATAAAAAAATCACAGTAACAGCTCTCCTCCTAATCTGAGAACTAATTGCTTTCAAATCTACATGAAATATGTTGACTGTAGCACCCATATGTCTTTAGCTAAAGAACAGAAGATTCCCACAACATAATCTGAGTTGTTTAAAGACTTTACTGAATACCTTCTTACAATAAAATATTTTGACCGGTGCAATAAAAAAAGATGCATAGTTGTTTCTCCCCTTGCTTTTGCTGTACTGCTAATTTGACACAAATAGCTACAGTCAGTGAGCCACTCTTGGTTGTCCTTATAGAACAAATAAGTCAGAAGAGACATCAGGGTTGACCAAGGAGGGGAAGTGGCTATGACAAGGAGATAAACATAGTTTTTCTAGGTATTTTGCAGCCATTTCTATGAAGAGAGTTCCAAAGAAGTCCTGAGCAAAGGTGACAGCCTTCTCAAAGCTGAACCCTAAAAAAAAAAACCCCCCTCGCCCCTGTCCTGGTGTACATTAGGCACCTTTTGCAGAGAGGGATTACCTACCTGTTCTGTCAGGTTCCTGTCTGGATCAGGATCTTCTTTTTGTTACAGATAAGATAAAATGTTGCAAGTGTCATCACTGTTGCTTGCTTTGGGAATGCAGTGAAACGATTATCATTATTTAAATATTTCTTTAGGTTTTTGATGATGAAGGAAAGGATGTGACACCTCATCCACTCTGCCATTCAGATCCAAATACTGTTGTACCCAAGCAAGGCAAACTCTTAGCATCAAGTGCTTACTTTGGAGCCACAGGATCTGTTTTTCTCTCTTCTTTTTCCATGCATCAGACATCAGGAGTAAATGCTAGTTTAGCTTACTTCTCAAGGTAAGTCAATATGCTGTCTCTTAAATCCTGTCTCAGTTCCTGCCCTGCAGTGGCCACACATCTGCTCTTCAGAGAGGTTGGGAGCTGGAATAATTGTGCAGGGCTAGTAATTATACTCTGTTGTCAAAATGCATAAACTTGCCAATCATAGTTGTCATTTAAAATTTGAGGAATAGTAACAAATAGAATAAATGGAACCTCTCAGTACTTGTGGCTGTGTCAGAACTACTGCTGAAATGTTGATACATGCAGGTGAAAGCAGACTGCAGCACACACTCCTGTAATATTGCTAATTTTATTCAAATTCCCTTTCCTAAACCACTTTTTTTTTTTAACGTAACATACCAGAATAGACTGGTTTTAGAGATGGTGATGCGTATCTCACAGTTCAAAAATGTAGACATCCAAACTGCAGGTTTTGTAGTGGTTAGACCTGCATATGAAGTTATGATAGAACCTGTAGACAGATACATGACAAAACGCTGTCTCAAAGGTAGAGGAGGTTGTGTTCTGGTTGCCTGAGCAAGGCTGTACAGCTGAGAAGGGGCATTTGCAGCTCATTAATATACTCCCTTCAGCTACTTAGATGGTCTCTGCCTTTCCCAAGCTTGTTTTTTTCAAAAACTGGAATATATACATACCTGCTTAGCTGTGGGTATGGAAAATGCTTTGGAAATGAAAGGTCTGGTTTCACTGAAGAATTACACATTTATTTTCAAGTATTGTGTCAGTTTTAATGATACTTATTCGGTACAGACAATCCTTTTTACAAACTTGACTCCTTCAGTTCAAATATCAAAATATCGTTCACATAATAAGAATCCTCTTTTAAATGAATTTAAGCAAGTTACCTCTGTGTGATTATGTGCATCCATTTCAAAAAATGTTCTTATACAAAAACTTTTGAGTTAAAACTGCTAAGTTATGTGTTTCACTACTTACTAGCTTTCATTAACAAACCTTTGGTACAGAGGGAATAAACAAAGTCAATGGACTTAAGCCGTTTTGTCTTCAGGCTGACAAATTCAATTAAGTCATGCAAAAGAAGGTAAATAACTATTCGTGTTTAAAATGAAAAATAAAGAACCACATCACCTTATTCAATGGTGTGTGCACATTCAAACTGTATGGAGTGGCATTGATATTTATGTAATCAAAAGGACTAAATGACTAGTAAAGTCAGCACTGGAAAAAAAAACCCACAAGAAAAGCATTATTTACTGTTTTCTTTGTCAAAGTTAATGCCATTGTGATTTATGAGCAAAAGAGATCGCTCTTTGAGAACTATCTTTTCGTCACATTTCCAAGGGTGGCTATCATAAGGGATAATCCTAGAGGCAGTGATATTAACCAGGAGCAAATATACACAAAAAAAATGACTTAAAAATACAAGGTATCTCCTGAAAAATAAATGTGTCCTTTTTGGAGACAAGAGCTCTTAATTTATAAAACAAAATTAAATGATTTAACTTTAATTCTAAATACAAATCTTGAAAATTGTCTTTTTCAAATGCCTTTTGTATATTTATAATTGCTCACACTTAGCTTTTGAGGAAGAGAAAATCTGCTGACAAACCTCCCAACTGTACCTAAGTTTTGAGTTTTACTCCTAGTTATCACAGCTATCCCCTCTGTAAACATTATCTGCTTTGTTAACAAGCTAATCCCGTCAGATGAGTTTCTTGTGCATTTCAAAGACATTTCAGCAGGCGCAAAGCACCAAAGGATCTTAATTCTGGTTGAGAAGAGTGCTATCTGTGGGTATGCGTTATCACACAGTAGGTAGCCAACACTTCACATTATTATATGCTAAGAATGAATCTGAGAGCTCAACAGCTTCTTTTCCATCAGCTATTTAATGCCTCAGGATATGCTGTCAGAGGAACTCTTCCTTTGTAAGCCATTTTCAAACCATTTCATTATTTTCTTTCCTAAGCCTTCTGTGACTTTCTTTACAATGCAAGCATCACCGTATATGCTCTTAGTCTTCTGTGGTTTATCCTGATAACAACACTGCTATTTTTGTAGTGCTTTGCTAACCGACATCTGGACTCTCACATACTATTTCTGCTTATTTCTTTGTTACTAAGGGCATATGGAAGCAGCAATACTTCTGTATCAAACATATCAACAACTGAGTCCATACTAGATGAAACAGTAGAACCTGGCCCTCAACGAGACGCAACTGTTAGCTTATCTGGTAAAGAACATACACTGTATAATTACAGATTTAAACTGTTCTTTGGAGCACTGTGATCTGTGAGACACTGCAGTCGGTGAATGTGAGATACCCAGAACTTCAAAGGAACTCAGTGCCTCACAAGTTTTGGCTCCTGATTGCTACAATACTTTTAGAATTAATTTGTCTTCTTTTATATTTAGAGCAGAAAAGGTCTTGCTTGTTAACCTCATATAATTTTTCAGATGTGCAGGTGAAGCAAGAGGAGATAAAAGAAGAACTGACAACAGAAGACTTAGATAGGAGAGTGGATATTTACCTCACAGAGACGGAAACTATCTGGATATTGGATATACCATCTGTTGTGATGTCTGTAGAATCAGAAAATGCTGGAATAATTCTGTATGTATATCTGTAGTTGTGTACATGCATGTAGTATGCCCAGCACACCCAGTATCTGCTGATCGCAAAGTCCCGAACAGGCTGCTCACACATAGGTTCAATGTTCTGACTACCACAATTTGTCATTTCACTTTTGTTTAAAGCCATATTGGGCTTGAGTCTCTCTTTTGACAAGACAGCCTAAATTCCTTACAACTCCATCTTGTAGATACCCTCTTTCACTGATAAGTTAAGGCAGATTAGCAAAAGCAGGGGATGGAAAAAGGGAAATGTGCCCATTTTCAAAAAGGGTAGAAAGGAGGCACATGGAGGCCAGGGAGGTAATTCGAGATAGCCAGCATGGCTTCACCAAGGGCAAGTCCTGCCTGACGAACCTAGTGGCTTTCTATGATGGTGTGACAGCATCAGTGGACAAGGGAAAACCAACAGACGTCATCTATCTGGACTTCTGCAAAGCCTTTGACACGGTCCCCCACAACATCCTTCTCTCTAAATTGGAGAGCTATGGATTTGATGGGTGGACTGTTCAGTGAATAAGGAACTGGCTGGATGGTCATGTCCAGAGGGTAGTGGTCAATGGCTCGATGTCCGGATGGAGACCGGTGATGAGTGGTGTCCCTCAGGGGTCCGTGCTGGGACCGGTGCTGTTTAATGTTTTCATCAATGACTTAGCGAGATCGAGTGCACCTTCAGCAAGTTTGTGGATGACACCAAGCTGAGTGGTGCGGTTGACACACCAGAAGGACCGGATGTCATCCAGAGAGACCTGGACAAGCT